AAGAAGAAGAAGAAGAAGAAGAAGAAGAAGAAGAAGAAGAAGAAGAAAAAGAAGAAGAAGAAGAAGAAGAAGAAGAAAAAGAAGAAGAAGAAGAAGAAGAAGAAGAAGAAGAAGAAGAAGAAGAAGAAGAAGAAGAAGAAGAAGAAGAAGAAGAAGAAGAAGAAGAAGAAGAAGAAGAAGAAGAAGAAGAAGAAGAAGAAGAAGAAGAAGAAGAAGAAGAAGAAGAAGAAGAAGAAGAAGAAGAAGAAGAAGAAGAAGAAGAAGAAGAAGAAGAAGAAGAACTACAAAAACACCAGCACTATAAACAACAACAGTAATTTTAAAAAAAAACAATAGCGATAATGACAGTATGAGATGGATTAGTCAACCGTTTACTTCCCAGACAGATCAACCCCAAGCAATTCTGAAAAATGGGAGTATCCACTTATTGGGGCTATTTGATCCCAACAGCTTCCTTGCCCACCCAGGTCTTCACGTTACACCTGGATGATGTAGCCCATACCTGTGCTTTAATTATTACTTCTTAGGAGGTTGAACGGGGTACCAGGAATCTGATTTGTTTATATGCCGTCCAGACTGATATTTTGAACTCCAAAGTTGGTATTGTAAGCCTTTAGGTCAGTGAATCCCAAACTGTGCTCCGCAGCGCCACGGGGAGCCACGATCTCTTCACATGGGCGTCGCGAAATATTCGAAGATACACAAGTTTCATTTTTTAAATCTCTTACATTCGAATAGTCATACTTTTACTTAGGTTAGGGCGCCATGGAAAAATTGTAATTGAAAAAAGGTGCCTCGACTAGGAAATGTTTGGGAAACACTGCTTCCGGCAGTAGATCAGAGGCCTAAACCGATCTATCGATCATAAAGCATCACTCTTTAACAACAAAAGTTAGCTGCATATCCTTCACAGGACGTTGCAAAACCAACCGCAGCATTTATTTGTTGTTGTGGTATTTCTAGGCAAATGTTACATTCAGTAGTTTGCCATTGCTTACTGTAGGTCAGCTCTCGGTATTACTGTCGAAACCAGCACAAGACATCGTCCGCAGCTGGTATCTAACCCGGCACCCCGACATTACGAAAAATGTTCGCAACGCCTAGGATAAACAATAGAAGAATAATAATAATCTTCTTCTTTTTCTGCTGCTGCTGCTGCTGCTGCTGCTGCTGCTTCTTCTTCTTCTTCTTCTTCTTCTTCTTCTTCTTCTTCTTCTTCTTCTTCTTCTTCTTCTTCTTCTTCTTCTTCTTCTTCTTCTTCTTCTTCTTCTTCTTCTTCTTCTTCTTCTTATTCTTCTTCAGCATTCCGAGCCCTTGAGGTTCATTGCTGCAGATATCACCCGCCTCCATTTATCTCTCTTGTTGGCCTTCTCTTTCCAGTTGGTAACAACAAGTGTTTGCAGGTCTGTCTAGATATTATCTCTCCATCGTCTTCTTTGTCTGCATCGTGGTCTACAACCATTCATCTCTCTTCTTTATACAGTTTTTATTTCTCTGTCATCTGACATTCTTTCAATATGCCCCAACCATTTGAGTCTATTAGCTCCCATGATGCCAGTGATCATTAGTGATTTGAACAGATTATGAATTTCGTTGTTGCTTCTCACTCTCCAATCACCGCTGTTTGCATCTTTGATGTGTCCAAAGATTCGTCGTAAAACTCTGCTTTCGAAAACCTAAGGCTTCATCTCTTTTAGTTGTGCTCCAAGTTGAAGAATAATAATGCCATAATGATTGTTGGTTGGCTCATACAAGGTGCACGATCTGTGTCAATTACTGTATATTATTTTTTTTAGGTATACTAAAACTGAATTCGGAAGTAACAGAGATGTGGTTTCTGAGATGAATGTTACGAATACCTTGGACGGCCAGAGTAACTAACAGCGATTGCTTGAAAGAAGCCAATGAAAGTAGATCTGTTAGTTAGTTAGTTAGTTAGTTAGTTAGTTAGTTAGTTAGTTAGTTAGTTAGTTAGTTAGTTAGTTAGTTAGTTAGTTAGTTAGTTAGTTAGTTAGTTAGTTAGTTAGTTAGTTAGTTAGTTAGTTAGTTAGGTTATCATCATTGCACTCCAGACATGTCCACAGGTGCTCAGATCCTCCACTCAGTATGAACCTCAACGTCCGATGGCTACAAGTCTTCTGGTGTGTCTGGTATGTGTCTCGTTTTTTGCAATGCTGATCTTAATTCCCAAGTCTGCCATTCTGGCAAGTGATGTCAATTCACTGCCCCTAAAGTCCTCTATTCTTCCCATTTCTCTGAGGGCATTAATAATATCAGAAGCTGATCTCTATATACAACAATATGAAAGAGACAAACACTGCTTTTTGGCCACAAAATGAGAAGAGAGACATTTGAGAAAATCGCGACAGCTGGAATGATCAGTGGAAAAGGGGTAGAGGCAGACCGAGAGAGATGATGTTGGATGGGCTGAAACGATGACATGGAGGGATATCATCAATAGAGCTGTTACAGGCAACCAGGGATCGTGATCTGTGAAGACGCATGAGCGCCTATGCCAGTTGGTATGGCACATGATGATAATGCTGCTCAAATTATTACTCAGAGGAATATTAAAGAAATTCGACACTGAAACAAAAACAGCAGCACCTGTGCAATTGTAAATTATGAAATCACAAAAACATGTTGATTCGTTCAGTTTTCTAGATATTTGTTGGTTTCAGGGCGCGACATTTCGAACAGACTGCAGTATTTTTTTTATCCTTTACTTACATCACAATCAATACCTGTGTTTTTATTTCAAGATGAGATAAAAGATGAAATGGTTGACGCACACTGACGTTGTACACCTCGTTAAAAAGAGCATAATTTATGCTAGAGTTAACGTCACTTGCCAACGACTTTTGCTTACCGCCCACCCACCTGTTGAATTGCATCATAAAATAGACAGTGCATGGTCAATTTAAAATAGACATGTTTGTATATAACGAATCAAATAATGATGTTTCAACGTAGCCTAACGCCATCACCGGAATATTTTATTTCGTTGGTGAATGACTTGCAGGGAAATTAATGAGGCTTTTGAAATAAATTTGTGTGCTGATTGTCTGCGTCTGTGACTTCTTCTTCTTCTTCTTCTTCTTCTTCTTCTTCTTCTTCTTCTTCTTCTTCTTCTTCTTCTTCTTCTTCTTCTTCTTCTTCTTCTTCTTCTTCTTCTTCTTCTTCTTCTTCTTCTTCTTCTTCTTCTTCTTCTTCTTCTTCTTTCTTCTTCTTCTTCTTCTTCTTCTTCTTCTTCTTCTTCTTCTTCTTCTTCTTCTTCTTCTTCTTCTTCTTCTTCTTCTTCTTCTTCTTCTTCTTCTTCTTCTTCTTCTTCTTCTTCTTCTTCTTCTTCTTCTTCTTCTTCTTCTTCTTCTTCTTCTTCTTCTTCTTCTTCTTCTTCTTTCTTCTTCTTCTTCTTCTTCTTCTTCTTCTTCTTCTTCTTCTTCTTCTTCTTCTTCTTCTTCTTCTTCTTCTTCTTCTTCTTCTTCTTCTTCTTCTTCTTCTTCTTCTTCTTCTTCTTCTTCTTCTTCTCTTCCACCTTGTACCTCATGGAAGTGTCGTGGGGGCGGGGGGGGGGGCGGGGGGGGGCGGGGGGGGGGGGGGGGGGGAGAGATGTAATGTTCGTTGATGAGCTCTGTCAAGAGCACTATTAAGACTGATGTTCATTTCTGTAAGGCTGTTCTTAATGCCATCACGCCATCTTTTCCGAGGTCTTCCACTCGCTCTATACATGTTGTAACGTTTTAGTGTGGCTCACTGTGGCGGATAGTACCAGGGCATTCTTGTTAGCTGTTTGTGACTAGGCGTTACAAAGGCGCTTCGTAATGCCACTGTGCTGAGTTAGATCCCAGCTGCGAGTTATTTGACAGCAGACAGCCTTGTGTCAGTTTCGACAGTGGTATCGAGAGAAATGGCGAACCTCTGAACGGTAACTTGCCTAAAGAACCTACAAAACAGCAAAAACAAAATAAACAAGGCTCGGGTTGAGGTTTGGGCCGGTTCTACAACGTCCTGTAAAGGGTAATTGGGTTAGCGCAGTCAACAGGAGACTCGCTTTCAAATCCAGATTTAGCTCACGGCCGGTGTTCGAACCGGGCTGTTCCCGGGGTTCACCCAGCCTCTAGGAAATGGGTACCAGAGTTTACACTTTGGGGTAAATGGAGGAACGTCGCTGTAGCTACGGAGTTACGTGCGAAAGGCGACACAGGCGGACAGTTTCTTATCAGCTGTCCGTACTGGTAGCAGAGCACTTATGGTTTATAACCGTGTGCAATGGCGCTGGTTCACATCTCCCGACTTTACCTTTTTACTTAAGAAACAATATGTATTGATTGTCACATGTGTCCTTCCATGCAATAAGATCTAAGGGTTTTAAAAAAAAAACACACACACACCTAAATGTAAGTAGAAGAGGCAGGAACAGTAATGACAATACCAGGAAAGATGATGAGACAGGACCGCTATTAAACTACATCAACAGACAACAGATCAAATGGTTTGGTCATGTGTCAAGACTACCACCAGACCATGTCCTACAAAGAGACCTGTCACTTAGACATGATGAAAGCAGAACTAGAGGTCGACCACGCAAGCGATGGATAGATGGAATGTTCAAAGCCGTGAATACCAGCATCTACATAGCATATACCAAGGCTCGCACCTGATGTCTCTTCAAAACTTGATGCTGGAAGTCATAAGAGAACTAGAGAAGGAGCAGATTTCATTGACATATGGCATATAGCTAAAGAAAGATTCTCCGGATATCTTGGACAGAGAAGAGGGGAAATACTGACATCTTAAAAGATCTGACCATCAAGGAAGATTGGCTAATAAACAGCATCATGTCTCTGAAGCTGTAATGGAATGGAATCTTAAGGTGGTATGATAAATCTGTAGGCAGCAGTCAGAGGGACAAAGCTCCTATCGATCGATCGATTAAGAAGATCATTTGTTTCGTTTTCAGTCATTGATTATTTCTGGTTTTTATCGTGCCTACAGTAAACATGGCGTCTAGATTGAAGCTTCCAAATTTAAAGATCAGCGTCGACAACACGCAATCTAGCGACGATTCCGAAGTGGAAGTTGCTGTCGCAGATACTTCGAGTGTAGACGGCGATGATTTTAGTAAGGATATCAAGCCGCGGGTTCACACCAGGCTAGAAGATGGAGAGGTTCACGAAGAAGATGAGCAGGATGTATTATCGATAGGTACCACAGAACCAACAGAGAGACGATTTTTGTCCACCGGCGCGCTTCGTACTCAGGTAACTTATGGAGTAAGTTTGGGTTTCTTAGTTTTGTTTGATTATTATGGTAATAGGTTATTATTTCGTACTGAAAATCACAATGTGATGTGAGCTATGCAGATAGTATACTTGCTTCGTATATTCGTTATTCAATTCATTCTTTCTGATTCAACTGACGGTGTTGCTAGTAAACTTAATTCTTATTGGCGCTCCTTTGAACTTCTACCCCAATATTATGGAGACCAAACAAATACCCTAACAGGACTTCAGTCCTATGCAAAATGCGGAGTTCCTGCCAAGGAACCAATCGCTGCAAAACTAGGATCGGTTCCGGATAACGAAACAAATTATCTAACAGGGTCTCTCAAGTCTCTGGGATATATTAAATATTATTTGTGGACCTGATTCTGCGACTATCTGCACCGCCGACAGTATCCCGCAGATAGGGGGCTAAACTAGATGGCTGGGACTCACGAGCAGCAGCTACTGCATCTCCAGCAACTTTCTCAAATTTTTTTGCTCGTGAGTCCCAGGCATCTAGTTTAGACTCCCATCCGCGCTACACCTAGCAGTGCGGGGGATACACTCTTCTGTGAGTTTAATTGGAAGAACACTATCGCAAATCTGCGTCAGAGCGCGTGGTCTTCCCGTTATCTCCATATAATCGTCTGTAATGTTGTGTGTCTAGAAATTGTCAGTGGTTGCTAGTATTGTCTGCAGAAATGCTCAAAATTGTCAATGGTCACTATTATCGTCTGCTGATATCTTCTGCGGTGTTATGTGTCATGACATTGTCAAGTAATCCTAGTGTTGCCGCGATGTGTTTGTTGGAGGAATTCCACATTTTACACATGACTGAGGCCCTGTTAGGGTATTTGTTTAGTAATATATAGAAGTTCGAAGAAGAGCCAACTTAAACAGTTGAGTAGTTAAGTGAATTTCAAACTTCAACTGTTTTTGACAATGAGTAGACAGGCAAATAGGCTGACTTGTAATGACCCCACTACTTAGGCATGTAACCGCACTGCACAAGACAGAGGTGATCTCTCGCCTTTGGGACGAGGCAACAAGTAAAATGGAATATTCTGAAAACCCACACCTGAAGATAATTAAGAATGTACTATGACTATGTTGCAGCAGGTAGTAGTGTCTGAGGGCTCTGGGCGCACTGAAACTGTAGGGGAGCAGAGAATGTTGAATGAGAATCGACATCACAGCACTCGGGACACTCTCATGTGCTTAGTCCCCATATTTAGCAGCAAGCGAAGAGTTCCAATTCTGATAGTATCAGTAACTGTGTGATTGTATATCCCTCTCATCCTTCCCCTGAGTGTTGACTGTCGGAGCGGGGGAATGCAGCAAGATGAGTAGTTAGCCAGATGGCAACAGGTACCGTGAGTGTGAAAACTCTTTACTGGCTGTTGAGAAGTCAGAAGTAGCTAACATGGGTAGTCACTAGCTGTTGAGAAGTCAGAAGTAGCTAACATGGGTAGTCACTAGCTGTTGAGAAGTAAGAAGTAGCTAACATGGGTAGTCACTAGCTGTTGAGAAGTAAGAAGTAGCTAACATGGGTAGTCTAGTAGTCTTGGTTTAAGCTTCATAGCAAATGTGTCACCCCATCTTTGCTTCGCTCCTGTGCCAACGAAAAACACACAGAATGTTTATCACAGTCCCTTGTGGAAAGATTGATAGACTGTTGTCTCAGCATATCTAGCATACACACACATTAAAGCATGCAGTAACCATCTGAAGTGCTAACACAAACAGTCCGACATTAGAAATGCAGTTCATCATTGATGGTAGCAGGTCACCAACAGATCAGCAGTTGCCCACGCGATCAATTTTAATCACATACGGGCACCACTAACATTGCGACAACAAGCATCGCACCATTTTCTGAATCTACAATTCACACCACCATGTTGGTCACAGTCGAAAAACATTTCAAATGAAATCCGCAGCTCACAGTGTCACGCCATGCATTCAGCTCAGAAGCTGGATGACGAAACTATATCCAGTCTACAAATGGAGCAAAAATGCATCGGCCACCATCCGGATGAAGCCAAAAATGTGCCGCTGACTATTGTCCATTTTGACTGAAAGTCAAAGCTAATATGGGCTTGTGGCTTGTCCTAAATATTGTGATGTCAAATCTTTAGCAGACCCAAATCAACACAGTATTCAGCTGTCAGCCTGCGGGTCAAATCCAGCCGCTGAGACCGAAACACGTGGCCCATAAATCATTTGTCATTTGTATTATTGACTTTTCAACGCTCAGGCCTCTGGCCCATGATGATCCTCATTGTCAACATTGCGGTCTCTGAGTAAACTTAATTGGATAGCCCTGGTGTGTGTATGTATGGCCCTTTGTCTACAGACAGAGTTTCTTGCCCTTAGCTTAGATCATTCAGAACCCACATTAGGCTCATCGGTCACCTCTTAACTCACAAACAATTAACTATAGTTTCATGACAGATAAGTGGATCGCTCCTTGTCACCTGTGATGGGTGATCAAGAAACAAGAGGAGGATGTGAAAGAAGAAGAAATTGAAATGACAAGGGGGGAACTTGGATAATATAACAGAGTGTGAAGACACATTTGGGAGAAAAGAAGAGGAAAATAATTCATAGAAATTAAGAGTAGTATAAGAGAACAACATAATCTGTATTTGCACGTCATGTTCAGACTAACTTCGACTGAAATATTAGTTCATAAATTATTTTAAGAGGGGTAGAGAACTCTGAGTTACAATTGAATAAGTGCTATGTGGATTAAGCAAAATTCTGCGTCTTCTTTGTATTCTTCTGTGCTTTAATAATATCCTACCCCAAACAGGGGAAATCCACAAATCAGGGAACAGTCTAATATTTCAGGGGGTGGTAGATAGGCTGCATGCAGTTGTGGGCCTAGGCTGCATGCTTTCCTGGGACCTAGGCTGCACTCTCTCATGGGACGTAGGTGGGTTGGGGTTAGGGCCAGTTCTATATGTTTAGGGTCGTTAAAAGCATCAGAAAGCGGGGAAACCCAGTCTTACCACTCTATAAAATGTTGGACTGTTCTGTGACGTCATCTGGGGTAAAATATTAATAAAGAACCCATTCTTCTTCTGCCTTCTTACCTCCAATGGAGCATAAGCCCTCAAACAAGTGCAACTCACGCCGAGTTGTTCTATCCTTTACCATTGCAGGCAGCTCACCCCATGTCCTCCCCATCTGTTTAGCTTTACTCTCTAGTTCCCTTCTCTACATTTTTTTGGTTTTCCTTTATTTCTGTCCCTTGTGAGTTCCAATGCAAAAATATTCCAGTTATATTGTTCTCAGGTTTTTCTCAGCGTGTGTTGTACCCAACGCCAGTGTCTTTTCTTCACCTGTTGGTCCACTAAAACATGTTTAGTTCTCTCCCAAAGCTCTACATTAGCAATTCTTACCATACACTGACTGTAAACTCCTGTAGAAAGTTCTTGTTGTTTGTCCACTTCTGGATTTTAGTCGGTTACCTGGACTTAAGTTTTGTGTGCACATCCATTTGACAGATCTGGCTTATTTGTGTGCAGACTGTTGGTTCCTCATCTCAGGCAGATGTGCCAAACTTTCAAGGAAACATCTCTAATTAGCTCCCATTTATGACATTCTTGTTAGAAGCGCAGTAGGTCACTTCTTCCCACCTCACATCCCCCTCCCCCACCAGAGATAAGAAGTAAGTATTCTAGGGGCAAGAAATGTTATGATTAAACAACAAATGTATAACAGAAATGACGCATGTCTTGAATGTGGTGGCCATGTTATAAATGTCATTGTACGTCACAGTATTCATCTGCGTAGTGATGTCATGAGCTCAACACTCTTGACATCCTTAACAACAATATTGACAGGCTACTAGACAGTGGTATGGTTATTGTTATTTCTGTCACACTTTTAAGGACTTAATTTGAAGCCTTCTTAAAAAACAAGTTGTGTGAATGACAGGAGCAGTTTAGTTGACTAGCAGCTGTTTGGAACTGAGATAGAATGGTTAGTATCTTTGATGTCAGAGGGTAGACTAATGACCAGGGGCTGCAAAATACGGTCGAGAAACCTGGATATGAGTTCTGTGGGTCAAGCGCAAGAGGACACCATCGGTCTGCCTGAGTTGTCACCAATGTGTCACAAGGACATGAGCAATCTAAGACCACATGCAAGAATTCTTGTTGATACGTTCAGGAATTTTCGAGATTTTTGTTAAAATTTGAGGGCAAAACTTTTGGAACAGACTGTAGTGAGTTTTGGTATTCTGCTTAAATACCTCCCAGTCAGTGCCTGCATATTTAGCATTGTGAAAAATAAGAATAAGCAAGAGTAAAAAAAAGGATGTGAAAGAAGCTACAGGACCTGAAGGTGGAAAACAGAGAGGCAAAGAGGAAGTAAGTAAGAGAAGAAGAAATGGAGAATAAGAAATGAAAATTACAGTGTAGGAACTTGGATAAGATGATGGAGTGTGAAGAAAAATTTGTGAGAAAAGAAGAGGAAATGAGTAGTATAAGAGGAGAAAGATAAAAATAATAAAGAAGAGGAGAGAAAGAAAAAGAGGAAACAAACAGAGGCAGTTGAACAAGAAATGTGTGGTAAATTAGCTTATAGGAGAACTGAACTTTAGACCTCTGCAGTATATGGTGGCAAAACTTCTGCTCTGCCACATCAACATTCTGGCTTGAAAATAATTTATAATTAGTAATCACTGAAATATTTTTCACTTTTTTTTTTAGCCGAGAATTTACGAGAACAAAACTGGAAACTTTGTTACAGGTGTTGATATCACATCAGAAGTGAGTACGACCATTGCTTTCTTGCTTTCCACTAAAAACTTAAGATGTAAAAGTGTTTATTTACTATTAGATCAGTCCTCCACATCTTTGAGTGACACTGCAAGTCTGGTGGCCTAGAATCCTAAGATCAGTTATCCACACTCACATACACACAGATATACATTCACACAGATATACATTCACACAAGGGGCCGCAAAAGCGCAGTCAATAAGAGCTCGCTTTCAAACCCAGCTGCGACTCGCTGCAGCCCACGAACGGTGTTCGAAACAGGGCGGCTCCCCAGGTTCACCCAGCCTCTAGGAAATGGGTACCAGAGTTGACACTGTGGTAAATGGAGGAATGTCGCTGTAGCAAGGGAGTTAAGTGTGAACGGCGACACAGGCGGACAATTCTTATCAGCTGTCCGCACTGGTGGCAGAGCACTTATGGTTTATAACCGTGTGCAATGACGCTGGTTCACATCTCCCGACTTTACCTTTACCTTTATTCACACAAACACCCACACACTCATAAATTCACATACATATGTGGATACTCATGCATACAAAGATATTCATATGTACACACCTACACATACCCATACCTGATTAAATATACTTGCACTGACATTCATACAAACTCCAAGTACCAATACATTCACGCACTCGTATATGCACAAACACCTATAATCGCCTATAATAGAGAGTTGAGCAGTGACCAGGGAATCTGAATGATGCTCAGCTCTCATTGGAGGCATTAGACATACAGTCAGACTGTTAATGGTATCTTTGGAATTGGAACTTTGTGTTCCTGCTGAAGTTGGGGAGACAGAGCACTTACCAGAATATCCCAAGTGCTATGATGTCAGTTCTTAACTCACAATTCAACATTTCCCACCAGACTAGTTTGTTTAGCTTTGATTTTATCAGTTCTGTCCGTGCATCTTCCCACATGCAGTAGTACAATACTTGCCATCTGGTCCATTTATTCATCACCTTTTACATTAATAATTTTCAATTAACCAGGAAGCATCAGAGAAGAGGGAGAAAAGAACTCAAAGATTTGGCACTCTGAGCACACCGAAGCAACCCATAACAGACGTGGACATTAAAAATCTGTACAAAAGGTACCATGTATTTTAAGGCCTTCCTCGGTTTTATTGTTGTTGCTACATGGACATGTAAAAAGATCTAACGGCCTCTCAAAAACAATACTGCAGGGCTCAGTAGAAGAAAATAGGAGAAGAGGCAGACCAGGAAAGACCTGGTTACAGAACCTGACTGACTGGACAGGCCTTAGGCATGCAGTCATGAAGTCCATCGCAACTGCCCGCCAAAGGTGGAGAGAGCTGTGACAGTCTGTGACCCAACGACACGCATTGTTATGGGATGATGATGATGCTAAATGGGTTTTCAGTGAAAGGACATTATAGTTTAACTTCTGCCAAATAGTTATTTTTTTACCAAATACTTAAACTTTTACCATATTATTTTTCAGCATGTGTCACTTTGAAAAGTACCGATGACATGACTTTGCCCTTTTCTTCTTTTACTGCTTCGACCATAGACACATTGTACTGTTTTTCTCTGTTGCTGTCTTTCCACATTATTCTTGATCTACCTCTAGATATAATCTTTCTCCTGTTTCAGTGTTTGCCTTGAATAATATAGCGTCACAAGACATTCTATCAAAAAGAAGTGGGCAAACTATTTGATTTGCTGCCTTTGTATATAATATAGAATAACCAATTTTATTAGTGTGACCTCATTCCTAATTTGATCTCTTCTGGTCACTTCCTGCATTTTTTAAAAAACTTCTCATTTCCATGGTTACTGATGTGTGCAGGCGTGCTTACTGTACATGGTAATTTGAACTGAGCAGTCTGCACACTTGCTAGGTATCTATGGAAATGTTTACAAATGTCATCACCATAAATGCAAAAGAGTTGCCTCAGATGACGAAAGACTATTGTGCCAGGTACAAATAACAAGTTGCACCACAATGTGCCAGGTAAAAATAACAAGTTGCATCACTGTGTGCCGGATACAGTAACAAGTTGCACCACAATGTGCCAGGTGCAAATAACAAGTTGCACCACAATGTGCTAAGTGCAAACAACAAGTCATACCACAATGTGCCAGGTGCAAATAACAAGTCACACCACAGTGTGCCACGTGCAAACAACAAGTTGCACCACAATGTGCTAGGTGCAAACAAGTTACACCACGATGTGCTAGATCAAATAACAAGTTGCACCACAATGTGCCAGGTGCAAACAACAAGTTGCACCACAATGTGCCAGGTGCAAACAACTAGTAACACCAAAATGTGCCAAGTGCAAACAAATGTGCCAGGTGCAAACAACAAGTCCTTCCACAATGTGCCAGGTACAAACAAGTCGCACCACAGTGTGCCAGGTACAAATAAAAAGTTGCATCATAACCACTAGCACTGTCTAAGAACGCTGTATATATCACAATAAGTTGAATTGAGTAGAGAAGTGACATCACAGCACTCGGGGCATTCCCATGCATTCTCTGTCCTCATCTTCAGCTGCCAGCGCAGAGTTCCAGTACTGTTAGTACCGGTCACAATCTGGTTAAATGTCTGTCTTGCCTTTCCTCTTATTTCAATGAGCCAGCCAGACCCTTTGGTGGCACCCAGGTGCCTCATTCTCTCCAGGTCATAATAATTGTTTCTCTACTGATTCCGTTGCTTGTTCCTTAAGGGACTTGACCACATCTGCCTTTTCATGTATCAATTCACCATCCTGTACCACACTAAGTATGATCTGATAGTGCCGCCCTCCTCCTTTTGTTTATGGACGAACACATTGCAACAGTTATCAACTGGTAAGCGATGAACAACTGTCAAGTCTACCGCTTCCTGCCAGACACTGACATAGGCAGTCTTTAGATAGCTGCTGCAGGTAACTCTCGCCTGTGTCAGCTCTCCACACGCAGCACAACATTCACAACTAACACGTGAATTTCAAGCTGTATTTGTTCCCAATGTTTACACTCACATCCCATCATAAATGCTATTATGCACCCACTTTTTACCAACTCCTAGTTAAGTAAAGTAAAGGACCCTTTTCCCAGCCTTCAGGCGTATAGGGTATATAGGGCTAGACCTGTATTTTATAGACCAATCGGCAAGATGGGTAACGTGGTCATCATCACGCCGGCCGCCTTTACTTCCTGGGACTGCACCCTTAACCCACTCATGACTTGGTCATTCTGGAAGCCAAGTCCATTTAAAAAAAAAAAAAAAAAAAGTCTGGCTCCGCCGGGGAGCGAACCAACAACCTTCCGATCCGCAGGCGAGCATCTAGCCGCTCAGCCATGGCGACTTCCTTTTACCAACTCCTGGCTTCATTAACTCCCTACACTCCAAATGTGAATCTCACGTACAACAGTTAATTTTTGTGTGTGTGACATGACTGCAATATTTTGTCATACTTAACTGCTAAAAATTTGAACTGGTTTCATTTGTTATGTTTTTTTAAACATTAGCATGTTAATTTCTCCAGCCTTGGCATGAGTACGGACACCCTGGACCAGGACCTACGTGGCTGGCGTACAGATGCCATCTTGTTACGAGGAACGGAAAATATGAGCACAAAAGATGTCTTTGATTACTTCTCAGAATACGCACCAAAAGGAGTAGAATGGATTGATGACTTTTCTTGTAAGAACTTATTTACACATAGCATCACAGTCACCATTATCATCATTGTCTGGTTGTTAGTTAGTTGGCACCTTTCCCTCTTTCCAGATGATAGTGTTATATTGTGCTGTTAGGAGCAAACTGCTTAGACCAGTGTTTCCCAAACTTTTATTAGTCGCAGCACCTTTTTTCAGTTACAGTTTTTCAACGGCGCCCGAACCTAAATAAAAGTATGACTATTCGTATGTAAGAGATTTAAAAAAAATAAAGCTTTGAATATTTCACGGTGTCCCTATGAAGAGGTGGCGGCTCCCTGGGGTACCCCGGCACACAGTTTGAGAATCACTGGCTTAGACACCCAGATATTTCAGCAAAACAGCAAATGATTAATAGCATCTTTATCCCTGCGTTATGTTATCAGTGCAATGATGATGGGTGGCTTAAGACTGTTTCATGGAGAAAAATTATCAATAGAATTGATCTAGAACATCAAAGACCGAGATATGTGGCGACGCATGAATGCTTTTGCCAGCTGGTAAGGCACTTGATGATGATGGTGTTTTCACTGACAGGAAAGGATTGATGTCTTAGAGATAGGCTGACCATACGTCCCATTTTGGTTACTTGTTCCCCGGCTAAAAAAAATCATCAGTTGTGCTATTTTTTAAAAATATAGGCACTAAGCTCAAGAATAGAGGATGCACTTGTATACCATATTAGATTTAATAGTTTTAGATACTTTCAATACCTGAAATGTCTTGATGGAAATTTTAATTGCGTGTTTTTTTTAAATAAATTTTTTTTTCAAATGTAGTTAAAAAGCATGTTATTTTATTTATTACTTGGTGGCTATAGTTTAGGTTTAACTACCGGAATAATATCATCACCATCAAAACTCTTATCCATATGATAGGTCTTTAGCTTGTCCTTATCTGTGTCTGATGACGAATCTCTGTTTTCACATTTGCTTCATCCTCAGTTCCTTCTGGGATGTTGAGGTTAGGCATGCTTCATGCAGGGTGGCAGGCTTCACTTCAGAGGTCACTAGTAAGGAGCATTTCCTGGATCTTTTCTCCGGGGTATGCCAGTGTTTTGGGAAATGAACAGGTGGACAGACTGCCTGCTCTGCACAACTTGATGAAATACTGATGCATGATCAGGCTGTGTGGGAGAGCATGTACAATTTGGAGGAGCAAATGGGTCACCACAGTCTGGTGAGAGTGATATGGCTGGGATTGATAAAGGGATCCGGCCTTTACTTGACGCTCACAGGAAAGGCAAAAAAGACGGACATATAATCTGAATGCTACTGGCATGATTCGTATTAAAACTCTGCGCTGGCTGCTGAGGTTGGGGATGGAGCGCTTGTGGGAATGCCCAGAGTGCTGTGATGTCAGTTCTTGAAATAACTCAGCTCAGTTCCCGTCTTTGGTATGTGGACTGCCACACGTCTTCAAGGACTTAACAACGATCTCGGTCTTCACATTATCCCAGGATCTTTTCACATAGATACAGACTTTCTATAGTTGGTTTCTTCACACTACCTGCTGATGTCATATTGTCTCCAGAACTCTTCATACGTTGGTTCCATTAATATGGTGTCATATTGTCTCCAGAACTCTTCATACATTGGTTTAATTAATATGGTGTCATATTGTCTCCAGAACTCTTCATACGTTGGTTCCATTAATATGGTGTCATATTGTCTCCAGAACTCTTCATACATTGGTTTAATTAATATGGTGTCATATTGTCTCCAGAACTCTTCATACATTGGTTCAATTAATATGGTGTCATATTGTTTCCAGAACTCTTCATATGTTGGTTCCTTTAATCTCTGATGGCTCTTTGTAATACCTCTCCTAAGCTGGCATTACCAAATAAGGACCTGTATGGGATATTTAATTAAAAAAATTATTTGGTAGAAACATGTAAAACACCAAAAAGAGAATTTACAACACCATATTGACTCCTTACATCAAGCCCGCACAAAGTATGACATGAGAATAAACACCGCAAAAATTGAGGAAATGAGGATAGCCAGGAAACATAATTAACACAATTGTTCACGTTAGCGGTGCTACAGTCAAACAAGTGCGAGAATACAAATATCTAGGAAGCATATTTACGGGGGATGGCAGACTCAATAGAGAGATAGAAGCCAGAGTACAGAAGGCACATTCTGTCACCTTCCAGTTAGCCCCACTACTTAGACACCCAAATGTCTCCCTTTCAGCAAAACAGCAAATGACTAACAGCTTCTTTATCGCTACTTTATGTTATCAGTGCCAAACATGGACAATGAATAAGGCACTAGAAAAAAAAACCACATGTGAAATGCCTTGTCTCTGCAAGATCACTAACAACATTAGACGAGACAGGGTTATGAATACCAGCATTAGAAAGTTGGAATAAGACCATGTCTGGATTATATTGACAGATGCACACTGTTTTTAGACTGAATATTTTTGGAAAATAAGTGCCTCTTATACTTGAGGAAATTGTAAAACTCACAGTAGGCAGTCATGCATTTGATTTTCATTTGTTGCTTTTTGCTTCCATTTTAACACAGGTAATGTCCTCTGGCAAGACAAACTGACCCCAGCGAGGGCTCTTCTGAAGCTAAGTTCCAGTATGGAGGAAGCTGGGGTGACAGAGAGACCTTTAGAAGTGGAAGGACCAAATGTCTATGGTATTTTTTTTAGCTCTTATGATCTTTGCTTTTGTTAGTTTGTCTGGTACACATAGTTTGTCTGGTACACATAGTTTGTCTTGTACACATTTTGTATTCAGTATTTTAATAACAGTTGTTACTTTCTCTTATGATTTGTTGTCATTTAATATAAAACAATCAGGTGATTTCTCTGTGATTATTTTTAGGTGCAGCAGATGCCTTGTGAATTAATTTTAAAAAAAATCCTGTGTGGGTTCAGGGGCCCTACTATGGGGAAAACAAGAACAGACCCACTGCCTAGCCAAAAGCATGTCGTAAGAGTCGACTAATTGGGAGCTTCCTTCGAAGTCGGAGTGCATCTGCCTGAGAGGCAAGGAACCAGCAGTCTGCATACAGATACGTCAAACGGATGCACAGGCAACACTCAGGTTCTGGAACAGGACTGCAGTCCAGAACTGGACGAACAACCAGAACTTTCCGCCCGAGTCTACAGCCAGTGAACGCGAAGAAGAAGAAGACAAACAAATAAAAAAAAAAAAAAATCTTGTATGAGAGTTTGACCTTGAAAGTGGTTGTGGCATCACCAGGTAATCTTCCGGAAGACACTGGGTGTCGTTTGCAAACTGTCCTTATGAAGAATGCATAGAAAAAAGATGCCATTTACTGTGGGCATGGTGTCAGCTGCCTTTACTTCCCATGATTTCCTGGCACCATTTATAGGCCAAGTCAATCTTGCAGCCAAGGTCATTTATATAGTTGTTATATTGCACCCAAATGCGGATTTAAGCACAAAACCTCTTAGCTAGTGGGCAAAGGTCAAAATGTTTCAAATACGGTTTTCACATAAAATATTTTCAGGTGAAAATATTTGTTTTCAAACAATTTCACGTCATATTTTAAAACATTTTTACGTAACAATGTTCATGTAATATTTTTCAGAAAACAGTTTTCACATAACAGTTGTCAAATAACATTTTATATCATTTTGTCGTAACATATTCACATTTTCACTTATCAGTTTTTCATGTAACGTTTTAAAACATCTTCATGTAAAAATTTTCACATAAACAGTTTTCACATAGAACATTTGCTAAGTTTTTCAACTTGCAGTTTTCACATATTTTCACATAAAACAGATTTAGTACTCAATTGATCTAGGCTTAGTGCAGATGAACTGTCTTCTTTTACTTTTCTTGAATTTTTCTTCGGCCCTTCCCCCAGGTGTTAGTCCATTAAACAGAGATAAACAAACAAACAGTTCTGAAACTGTGACTGAATCTAACACAAATGCGACAGATAAAACATCAGGTCCAGTTAGTGCAGCTGTCACCAGTGTCCCGGAGAGCGGTTTGCAGCAATCAACACCAGCTGCTGATGATCGCACACATGACGAGCCGGTACTGAATATTTTAATGGATGAAGCCATGGAACTTGATTATGACGATAACCTTGACCTTACAGAGGAAGACCCCATAGATAAAGCCCTATCGACGTGGGCTAATTTCTCACAAAATAAAAAGGTCAAAGCAGAACAGGCAAAAGAAGTGGAAAGAAGGAAGTCGGAAACACAGAAAGAAAAGGAAAGGATATCTCAAAAAGAAAAGATGTATCAAGATATTGAGGTCAAGGAAGAAAAAGACTTTAACAAGAAAAGCGGAAGCAGAAATAACGAAACAGTTCCAAGGAATCGGAATATTCCAGAATCTGGTGATCAGAACCAGACTAGACTAGTAAGTTCTAGAACTTCGCATGGCAAGAATTCTTCAAAACTGGACAGATCAAAGAACAAATCAAAAGTGGCTCAGTCCTTGACGCAAAAGAGAAACGAAAAAATGCATGCGAGCGACGAATCAGATACTGAAAGCAGTAGTTCAGGGTCGTCGTCTTCCAGTTCCGGGTCATCATCATCATCAGGGTCAAGTACAAGCTCCGGCTCTGATTCTGAATCTGGGTCGCGCTCATCAGCTAGTTCTGTGGATACTGTCAAGGCTAAACAGGTAGGTGATTTCTTGAGAGTGGCTTGAGTTGAAGCCGTTTTGTTAACTCATGTTATTGGGTTTGAAGACTGAGCTATTCAAGTCGAAGTATAAGTTATTAAATATTTACTTTAAAGATTGGGCTATTCACCTTAAAGATTGGCTAATTTACCCTAAAGATTTGGTTATTTACCTTAAAGGTTGGGTTATTTACCTTAAAGATTGGGTTATTTACTTTTAAGATTGAGTTATTTACCTTAAAACTTTAGTTATTTATCTTAGAGATTGTGTTATTTACCTTGAAGGTTGGGTTATTTACTTTAAAGATTGGGTTATATACCTTACAGATTGGGTTATTTACCTTAAAGATTAGGTTATTTACCTTGCAGGTTGGGTTATTTACTTTAAAGATAGTTTTTGTGTGTGGAGATTTTGTTAGGGGTATTGCATTTATTATTTGGATATTCAGTTGAAAGACTTAGTTATTTAGTGTGTAGATTTTGTTCTTCGATTAGATGATTGGGTTATTCAAGTCAAGATTGAGTTTTTCAGTTTAAAGATCAAGTTGTAAAGTGTTATACAATTTGGGGGGGGGGGGAGGGGTGGGGGTTAAACAAGGGGAGGGGGGGGGGTGTTTGAAGATTGGGTTATTCAGTTTAAATATTAGGTTTCTCCAGTTAACAAATTAAGTTATTCAGTTTATTAGTGGCTTATTTGATTTAGAGACTGTGGTTTTTTTTTGAAGATTAGGTTGTTCAGGTTGCTCTTCTTGTTTCTGGTGGTTAATTTTGTACTTTTATAGCATTCTATTTATACAGTTTAATTTGCAATATTTCTAGTTTATAAGAGCAGTCCTTTTTCTTAAAACAATCTAGAGAAAGACTCGGGAAAGGAGAGACAGAGATAATGAAGCTAGAAAGAAGTCACGGAGAGCTGCCCCTCCACCAATCCTACCTCAAGCAAAAGAGAAAGCAGACATTCCTTGGCCACCTGGCTGGTGGAGACTGGGAGTCCCCTACCCCAAAGCCAAATATTTGTTTCTGAGATATGCGATGAAAGGTAAGATTTCATTTGGTTTTTTTTCTAAATTTATTGCTTGTCTCTTTTGTCCTCCATCAGGCTAACGATTTTGCTTGGGAACTCTTAAAATAGGTCGCGGTCCTTTAAGGAATCCTGAAAAGATTTTTTTGGCTATCCCCCCGAATAACGGGCACTAAAGATGGCGGCCGCAAAATATTCTGACGAGCCTCAGTCACGTATTGTAAACATTAAAAAAATTGAAGTCAAAACTAATAAGGAACGAAAAAAATGTTAAATCAAATCGACTTCTTCTTCTTCTTCTTCACTTCCTCTTTTACTGCTGTGTGCTTTGTATATCGACTACTTACCGATAATTTTATGCCTTTATATCTGGAAATTATGGCACAGAAGTTGTAAATAATGCCTGAAAATCTGCTGTATGTGGCTGTTACGCCATTGAAACTTGGCTAAGTACGATCGGGACAAGGTGCGGTTCGTACCGGATTGGTAACGCAGCTTTTTATTTTTAGTAGCATCCACAAACCTTCAATGGTTTTTGTGTGAATTTTTGCGGTAGCTGCTGCTCGTGAGTCCCAGCCATCTAGTTTAGCCCCATCCGTGGGGCGCATAGCGGCGCGGTGAGTTTAACTCGGCGGTTTGTTCCGTTTCTCGAAATTGTCAACAGACACTAGTTTTCCCGCGATGTGCTCGTGACCGCACAATTGACACGTGACTGAGGCTCGTCAGGATATTTTGCGGCTGCCATCTTTAGTGCTCGTTATTCAGAGGATAGCCTCTTTTTTTTTTTTACACTGGTCAGTTATAAATTCATTAAAATGTTTATCGGGGAGTCGCTGTGGTGTGGCGGCTAGATGCTCGCTGTGGATTGGAAGGTCATGGGTTTGCTCCTCGGAGAAGCCAAACTGTTTTTTAAAAATGACCTTAGCTTCCAGGTGGACCCAGCCTTGACTGGGTATAAGGTGTAGTCCTGGGAAGTAAAGGTGGCCAGCATGATGCTGACCACATCACCCATTTTGTGCCGTTGGTTTATACAATTTAGGTATAGCCCTATATATACCACTACGCCTGAAAGGCGTAAAAATGGTCCTTTATTTGTTTACTAAAATGTTTATCAATATTTTAAAATTATTTTTAGAAATCTGTAAATATATATGAAACAAGTAATCAATACCCAAAAGACACTCAGTTTGTAGACTTGACGCATCAGCTGATTTGCTTAGGCTCTTCAGTAGAACAATCTGTACTGCAGTGGATTCCAGGTCACTGTGGCTTGGAAGGCAATGAAATAGCGGACAGATTGGCCAGAAGCGGCAGTGACATGGTACAACCAAATAGCGACTTAACCCACCAAGAGATGAAAACACTAATACAAGCTAGTATCCAAGAAAGGTGGCTGGATACCCACACCAGATTTTCTCTCAAAGACTCACTTCATCGCCTCTCTAGAGAGGGACAGTGTATTATATTCAGACTAAGGACAGGGCACAACAGATTTCGTCAACATATGTTCAAATTTTTTGGTGTAGGAAATACGGAGACGTGTCCCTGCAGGGTGGCACCCGAAAATGCTGAGCATGTGCTCCAACACTGTCAACTGTATGCTGACAACAGAGACGCAATCTGGCCTGTTCCAACCACACTGAAGACAAAACTGTATGGTACACGAGAGGATATGGATTGCACGATAGCTTTCATAAAGGCTTCCGGCCTCCTGATATAAGTTTTCTGACAGAAGGATCAAAGAAGAAGAAGAAGAAGAATAAACACGAACAGGGTGAAGCGGTAAAGGTAATACATTCCATAGAGCCTGAATAAAACATGTATTGGGTGACTCATGCTGTGTCACTGTGACCACTAAGATTTATGAGAAAATTAATGCCATCTTGGCTTTAGAAGACCATTTAGCTCAAAGAAAAAACAACCCTAAATGGTGTTAGTTTTATTCATATTCTGACTTCCTAAACCCGCTGATGAAAAGTGAGTGTGGCCTTGTATGCGACAATCTGGTGCCTATATTTTAGGTGCGGTCAGTGAATGTCAGTGTTGTTTCAGGGACAGAATATTAGCATTTCCTGCCATCTGAGGAGGCTTTCTTAAATGCAGATCCAGTAAATGGTGTTCTAGTGCTGGGGGCACCCAAGGAATTGTTGCATGCACCTCAGTGTCTAACCTCACTTCCCTTCATTGAGCATTTCATTCCTCACTGGCTATGCCTTTAAAAGCCAGGAGGAGGCAGCTGTTGATCTGGGATTTTGATTACCTACAACAAATCAAATGATTTGGCCATGTAACAAAAGTGGCATCAGACAGGGCACCACAGAGAGCAATGTTATATAGATAGAGCAGTAACAGAGCCGAGTTCAACCACACAGAAGGTGGACCACAGAAATATCACTGACCGTGACAAGTACTTTATACAAAGGGCCCATTCCAGAGATCTCTTCCTGCCCTGACGCAGCTGGGCATTCCAGGAGTAGAGAAAAAAGAAGACAAAGAGGAGACGCAGAATGAGTGCAGTGCTTCTAAAACTTGTGTTAGATAGACTTGTGCTCATAGTCCTGTGCAGGCATTTCTTTTATGCCACTTTTTACTTCGGCTGACTTTCAGCATCACTTTTCATTTACACACTGGCAGCAAGTTTGTGGGATTATTCACTTCAATTTTAAACTGTATTGAAGTATTTAAACTTAATACACAGCAGATAGATCGAGAAAGCATGTTGGGATCCTAATAGAGCAGTAATACAGTCTAGTCTGGATAAGTAGAATTCACAGGGACCTAAGAAACTGCTTCCACTAATCAGGATTTCTACTTATCCAGACAGCAAACACACTAGAGAAAATTGCCGGGACTAAGCTGGTCATGTTGACGTAACCAGAGTTCGACTTAAGTGGACTCGACTGTACTGTTAATCAACAGATTATTCTCATTGTACATCAGACAAGCCCATAAGCGCTTAGATCCCATCTTCAGCATATCCCCTGACATGTGGCGACTGATAACACCAGTTTTGTGTTAATTTATTCTTCGTTTTTGTCCTTTCAACTTTACTTGATGCATTACAAACCCTCATTTTTGGGTATACAACATTACAGACCCATATGTTAGGATATACAACATTATGAACCTATATGTTAGGGACAAGCAACATTATGAACCTGTATGTTAGGATAAACAACATTACTAACCTGTATGTTAGGATATACATTACAAACTTAGATGTTGGGGGTGTTACAGCACAGCAAACTCATATGTTAGAGATATACAACATTAAACATTTATGTGTTAGAATCTGCATTGTTACAAACCCTTATGAGGTTATTACAACATTATTAAACATTAGCTCCTGCATCGTTTGTCTCCCACAGCTGACAAGAAGATACCCGGAGCAGAGAAGAGAAGCAAGTACTACGTCAAACATGGCAATCCCAACTTTGGAGGTATGTTTGTCTCAGTCGTATTATCTGTGCTGGATGTTATTTTCTTATAGAGACGTTTTCCCCCATTTAATGGTCAAATTTTAAAGATCTGTGATCTAACTAGTCCTTAAGAGAGAGAATAGGGGCTTTTGAGCTGAAATGCTATAGAACGATTCACAGAATATCTTGGACAAAGAAGAGGAGAAATACTGACATCTTGAAAGATGTGAACATAAAGGAAGATTGGCTGATAAACAGCATCCTGTCTCTGATGTTTTGGTCATATCAAGCGCCACAACGGATTGGAAAAAATAATAGCAGAGGGCATGGTGCCAGGAAGGAGGGGCAGAAGCCAACCAACACGAAGATGGGCAAAGGATATAATTGATTCCTTGAGTGTGAAAGTTCATGAGGCAGGAGAACTGGCGAGAGACTGAGTTTCTTTCAAGCAGACTGGGATGAGAGCGACGTTCTGCAAAGGACCTGCTACATGATGATGATGTGATCTGACTGTAAAAGAGCTAGAGGTCGACCACACAGAAGATGGACGGCAAAAATATCAGAGATAAGTACTTTTACGAAGCGAACAGAAGCGCACGTTTTAGAGATCTCTTCCTGGCTTGATGCTGCAAGGCATTCCAAGGAGTAGAGAAAAGAAAATGATAATATTCACCCAAAATAAACCTCTGAACTTTAGAATCCAATTTTTTTTGCGATTCTAATATAAATTAAACAACTTTTTCAGTGTGACTCAGATAGCGCGGGGTCCGTGGTGGATCTTAGAAACATAAGAATGGTTGGCTGGTCTTTGTTAATTGTGAACCAGTGAACATCCTAACCTGTACAGTCCATGGCGACAGCAATAGCCATGCGCCCCTAAATCCTCAGGCTCACAACTTCCTGTCTACAGCGCCCCTAAGTCCTTAGGCTCACAACTTCCTGTCTACACCAGTAAGGTGATAAAACAGACAGCAGTGGCAGTTTCGTGAAATTGCACAATTGTTCCCAGATAGAGAAGATCCGAGTGGACCCCTGTTATTATTTGAAGCTTGTCACCGAGTGTAATGAGTGGGAAATCCCATGACCTCATAAATGGTTCCCCAAGAGGAAAGGTTGAGAGGTCAGAGGCCAGCTAGGAAACATTTAACCTTATGAAGAGACTGCTCCACAAGAAAATGTGGGTGAAAGAGTAACAGGATTTTCATGAGGGACAAGTGTTTGAAAATTCCGTGCGGGGGGGGGGGGGGGGGGGGGGGGGGGGATACACTAGTGTGAGAGAAAGATGCAGGCTAATTTGAGTGGAAGTCATATCTTGTTGAAAAATTGTACACATAATAAATAACCGTTGCTTGTTTGTAAATTATGCATTAAGTTTACATCTTTATGTAAACAATATTTTGTTTATAAATTGCATCCCTATTATGTGTTGTGTTTTTTTTTTTTTTACAAATAAAGCACAGCTTTTTTGTCAGTTGTACATTCATTATCTTCCCATAAAACATATCTTGTTTATACATTATATCTAATAAATATGTATGTTGTATAAAACCTGGCTTGTTGGGAGCTACTGTGGTAAAGTGGCTAGACGTTCACCTGCAGATCTGAAGGTCCTGGGCTCAAATCTGAACGGAGCCAGACCTTTTTTTTTGTTCAGAAATTACCTTGGCTCCCAGCCAGCATAATGTCGACCACATCACCCACTAAGGGCCAGTTGGTCTATAAAATATGGGCCTAGCATCATATGCCCAATATGCCTGGAGGCGGGGCACGGGTCCTTCAGTTTTTTACTTTATATAAACCATTCCTTTAAAAAAAATGTCATGATAATTAGTGTGTATTTTATGTAAAGCATAATTTGTTTACGAATTGTACATTATCTTCAATTAAAACATCTTGTTTAGATATTGTACATATGAGTTGTGTCCGTGGCTTAGGCGTTGCCAGTCCGACTCGTAATTCCAACGTACAGCGATCGAAACCCACTGGCTGTGTGGATTTTTATCATGGTATGGGGTGTTGCAGGTTGACCCAGCCTGATGGATACTAGGATGTATGTAAAGTATGTAAAGTAAAGACGGCCGGCGTAATTCTGACTACATTGCCCACCCAGTGCCGATTGGTCTGTAAAAATATATCTGCCCAAGTACCCGATGCGCCTAAAGGGCGTTAAAAGGGGTCTTTACTTTACCTTATTGTACGTGTGGAGGATACTTTTTAAAGCTGTTCTTTTTCTGTTTCAGGGATTGTTGGCTTTATCAGCAAGTCCAGGTATGAACAAAGTTTTTTTTTTTTCAAGTGGTCATTCATAGGCATGCAGGTACATCTTACATTTCAGTTTCCAGCCACTCATCCTTTGCACAGCAGTTGTATTTTATGTATAATGTTAAGTTCAGAGACCAGTGTATATAATACCAAGGCTAGGTGCGTATCCAAGATTATAGTATGAAAAATACACCTTTCATATGTATGTACATGCGTGCCAGAGCAAGATTTTTTAGCTGTAACAGATATATCATCTTTGCCTCTGTGGTCAGAGCCCTATTAACAGCTCTGAGCAGGTAGATAGACTGGCGGGTTCTGCACCACCTGGTGGTGAATTGATGCATGACAAGCTAGATGTTGTGAGGGCTCTTTGAGAGCGAGTGAATAGTGTGGAGACACAAATAGATGATTGCGGTCTGAAGAGAATGGCGCCACGAGGAGTTACCAGGGGATCTAGCCAAAGCTCAACACTCAAGGAAGAGGCAAGACGGATATACTGTCAGACAGTGACTGGTGTCATTGGAATTAGAACTCTTCGCTTGCTGCTAAAGATGGGGATGGATCGCTTATGAGAGTGTTCCAAGTGCTGTGATGTAGATTCGTAATTCAACATTCAAATTAACCATTACATATCGAAGAAAAAACAATATGTATATGCTGTTTTTTATCCTCAGAAAACGCAGGCTCCGGAATGTCGACAAAGAAGAACCACTTGAAGTGGACAGTGACAGCCTGGATGTGACCAAGAATGAGGAGAAGATTGTAGAAGGGGCCCAGTCAAGATTGGCAGGTCGTATCGGGGTCAGGGGAGAGTTGGGAGGCAGTAGGCAACGAGACCTGGATGACGAGGCTGAGAAGCCTCGGCTGAAGGCGGGAAGAGACCTTAGAGATCTGCTCAATCGGGATGTGTCAGCAGCTCAACAAGACTCAGGTAACAGTTTAGTTTCTGGATGATTGTCAGTAATTTTAAGTGAGTTTCCAGTAATTTTAAGTGAGTTTTCAGTAATTTTAATTGAGTTTTCAGTAATTTTTAGTGAGTTTTCAGTAATTTTGTATGATTTTTTTTTTTCAAATCAGTGGTTTGGCCACCGAATGAAAATGAATCAGACGATGCCAGCAGCGAGAGCCGGCAGCAGCGCTATTCAACCGGTGGCTCATGGCTCAAAGAGGCCTAAAAGCCGGCCCGTAGATCACGTGCCAGTTAGTTAGTTAGTTAGTCTTTCCTCTTGAGTCTAAAGCGGCCCATAGGGCAGAGGTCATAGCTCTCCATATCTGGCAGTTCGTTGCCACCTGATTTAGGTCTTAGATGTTCATTAAGCCCATAGTTTAGCCTTTCCTGGTGTCCATATGAGGGCTTGATGGGGGAGTCTTGTCTCATCCATTCTGAGTGCATGGCCGATGTAGTTCCAGCGGCGCTTTCTTATAAAATTTTATACATTTTCTTGCTTGGTGTCTTGTCTTATTTGCAAATTGGATCTTAAATGTGGCCAGTAAAGATTCAGTATTCTTCTAAGACATCTATCAAAATTGTCTAATTTTAATCAAAGCTACTTCAAAATTGGTTATTGGAATGTTAGAACTATGTATCAGTTAGAAAAAAAAAACAGCTCAAATGTGTAGTGTTATGAACGTGCCAGTTGCATTGTATTAATTGTTCCATGCTGAGGCTTTGGCCCCTGACGATCCCTATTTTTTAGTCATTTGTGGCCCCTGGGTAAACTTGAGTTGATTGGTCCTGGCCTGGCTCATGAACATGACAGCATCAAGTGGCAGAGGGCTACCTAGAAGTATAATGATTGAAGAAGTCAATAACAACCTTAGGTGACATAATATCAAAACATAGCAAACAGTTGAGTGTGTCCCAACTTGGCCGCTGATTATCCTGTGATGGTTTGCAGTTCAAAGCAGATATTGACATCACAGCACTCTGGACATTCCCATAAGCATTCCATCCCTAACTTCAGCAGCAATGCAGAGTTCCAATTCCAGTGGTACTAGCAGCAGCCTGAGTGTATGTCCGTCTCACCTTTCCTTTGAGGGCTGTTTGTCGGCCAACCAGATCCCAGGGTCACTCCCCGCAGCACGATTCTCCTCAAGACTGATGATCCATCTGTTTCCGCACTGGGAAAGATAGTTGAGTTGATTCAAGAACTGACATCACAGCACTCAGGGCATTCCTATAAGCGCTTCTTCCCCATCTTCAGCAGCCTGTGAAGTGTTACGATACTAATGGTGCCAGTAGCATTCTGATTAAACATCCGTCTTGCCTTTCCTCTAAACCTCGAACATCTGCCAGAACCTCTTGTCACTCTCCGCTGCATCAATCTCACCAGACTGGTGATTCATCTGCTTCTCCCAACTGTACATGCTCTCCCTCAAGGCACTAACCACGTCGGCCTAATCATGCATCAGTATTCCACCAAGTTGTGCAGAGCCAGCTAGTCTGTCCGCCTATTCATTTCCCAGCACACCGGCATTTCCTTTCTATGGAAAACATAGAAGAAAGACAAATTCTCCATATCACTTTCATGGCAGCAAGTTCCCCTCTGACAACATAAGACAATCCCGACCAGTCCAGACATTTCAGAAATTCACCTTATGCAACCGTCAGTACCTGGAGACCATGGAGTTGTGCAGCTGATTGTGGCAACAGCATCTGCTTGTGGCAACAGCATCTGCTTGTGGCAACAGCATCTGCTTGTGGCAACAGCATCTGCTTGTGGCAACAGCATCTGCTTGTGGCAACAGCATCTGCTTGTGGCAACAGCATCTGCTACGACTGTAAAGCCCAATGCTGGAGTGACAGTCTCTGCCGCATAGTCCACATAAAAGCATCAATAGTCTATCGGTCTGAGGCTGGTTTTCTCTTAGCTGTCTACTCTTTGTAGCCTGCTGCTGCATTTGTCTTCTTTCAAACTGTGACAGTCCGCCTTTCACTGTCTGCCTCAAAGGAGTCAGTCTGCAGCTGATCTCTTCCAAGTGTCTGTGTCAATGTGGACATCTTTCAGGTTGCATTCCACACGTTCTCATAGCACAGCACATATCTTCCTGCAGATCTTATCTCTGTTGCCACATTCCATACGTTCTCATAGCACAGCACATACCTTCCTGCAGATCTTATCTCTGTTGCCGCATTCCATACGTTCTCATAGCACAGCATATACCTTCCTGCAGATCTTATCTCTGTTGCCACATTCCATACGTTCTCATAGCACAGCACATACCTTCCTGCAGATCTTATCTCTGTTGCCGCATTCCATACGTTCTCATAGCACAGCACATATCTTCCTGCAGATTTGATCTCTGTTGCCAGTTCACCATACATCGTGTTGTGCCATGGTTTCATCTCACAGGCCGGGCATGTTGAATAGGAGTACAGGCTGTTTCCTTGCAGCTGTCTTTTCTAGTCACATAAAGAATTTCTGTTGTTTCAATTTTTTTTTTCTTTTATTGTTATGTCCACATTTGGCACTGGTAACACAGTGTTGGTAAAAATTGTTAACATTCTTTTGGATAAATATGATGGAAAGTACTAGAAGAAAACAGGCATTTAAAAAAAAAAGTTTTACTGAAACTTTCTATGTTTTGTTAGTCTTACCATTTGTTTTTATTACCCAGGAGATAAACCTGAGGCCATAAATGAGTCTGATGGTGAGATGGATTATGGTGCAGAGTTAGAGCGACTGATGGGGGATGATGCACCTCCTGCCAAGAAGAGGTTTATGCGCATGCATGCTGATGACGAGGAGGAAAAGATAATAGCTAAAAGGCAGGTTTTTTCATATATTTTTTTCTGCATAGATTTTAGACCAGATTTTAAAAAATAATTCTTTTCTTGTTATACTAGTGTGTGTAGAAATTAATGGGCAGATATACTGGCTGGTTCTGCACCACTTGGTAGTAAATTGATGGTAGTTGTAAAGGGTGCTTTGGGAGGGAGTGAACAGTGTAGAGGCACAAAAAGATCATCACAGTCTTAGGAGAATGGCGCTGTGAGGTGTGACAAGGGGATTAGGCCGATGTGTAACACTCAAGTGAAGAGGTGAGGCGGATGTACAATCAGGCTGTTAGTGATACCATTTCATTTGGGACTCTGCGCTTGCTGCTGAAATCAGGATGGGGCACCACAGTGGTAAAGTGGCCTCTCAGATGGATGCACGCTGACTTTGAAGAAAACACCCCTAATAAAGGGTAAAGTCGGGAGATTTAACCAGCGCCATTGCACACGGTTATAAACCATGAGTGCTCTGCCACCAGCACGGACAGCTGATAAGAATTGTCCGCCTGTGTCGCCGTTCGCACGTAACTCTGAAGCTACAGCGACGTTCCTCCATTTACCCCAGAGAATCAACTCTGGTACCCATTTCCTAGAGGCTGGGTGAACCCCGGGAGCCGCCCGGTTTCAAAACTCTGACTGTGGGCTGCAGCGAGTCGCAGCTGGATTTGAAAGCGAGCCTCTTATCGACTGCGCTAACACGGCCCCCTCACACCCCTAATTAAGTTGCCTTCTAGGACAAGCTTGTGAGCGGGGCAGTGGGTCTGTTATTTGTTCTCTAAAATGGGGCTGCTGTGTTAATATTTGTTCAGTTTCAAAGTCATGCACACCTTGGGCAGAGTTGTGATACCACTTAATAAGACCTGCTGCTTTGAAAGCTGGCCTCTCCCCGTGTGGGTTTCCTGGGTCTCATTGTGGGGAAAACACACTGCCTCGCCAACAAGCGTGTCGTAGGAGTTGACTAATTGGCAGCTTTCTTTGAAGTTGGAGTGCATCTGCTTTTGCGGCAAGGAACAATCAGCTGCACACAAGAAAGCCAGATCTGTGAAACGGATCTGCATGCAAAACTCAAGTACTGGAACAGGTCTAAAATCCAGAAGTGGATGAACAACCAGAATTTTCTGCTGGACTTTACTGGCAGTGAGAAGATTACATGTTGACATCAATTAACATTTTTTCTCCAGGTTGTGCCACATTTTTCAGTTTACTTTTTTTGTTTGTTTGCTGCAATAATAAATTTTGCAATTTTTTTTTCTCCAGACTGCTTAATGTCCGAAAGGACACGACCAAATGGCCAAGGGGAGACCACATTGAAGAAGATGATGTTGAAGGGGAAGAAGAATATGAACCCGAGGAGATTCCACGACCACAAAGAAAAGAATGGGTAGATTACGATAATGTTGAAGACGAGGACCCATTTAATTTGTTCGGAACCTCGAAAGGGGGCCCACCTAAAAAGGTGTCAGGTGATGAGGAAGAAGTCGATGATGACACTGAGAGGACTTTTAGAAGAGACAGAAGTTCTGATCGGACGGGTAGGGATGTTAGGCAAAGGCTGGGGACTTCAGATCTTAGAGCGAAGATTCAAGGGCTGAAGAAAGCCAGCAGTCGGACTTGGTGAAATGCTTGGGGGTGTGTGCAGTTATGGGACCCTGGTGCTGCTTTTTTACTTTGTTTTTAACCCTACCAGACCTGAGGCTTTGAACCTAACTGCCCCCTATACCTGAGCTCCTGGGTATCAACACGCAAAAAACCAACATGATATACAAAAATATTAGTTACATGCAAACGAGTGGTTAGAATAAGATGAAACTTGGAGACATTGTAGAAGCCTTTCGTCTAGCACCAATATTCCACCTTTATGTGCAATTCCACCTAGAAAGATCGGCCTTGTTTCACAAAGTGAGCACCAGATGTTGCTGTTTGAGGGACACGCCCCCTGCTCTTACTGTCGATCTAGTTTTAAATCTATAATTTTCAAGATTCTCCTTATCACTTGAGCTCACACTGACTGTGTCACTTCAACTAGGAACGTATTGTTCACGTAATTCTGACTCCCCAGAGTCTAGATCAACCAAAGTATTGATCACCTGTTGGACTGTGAAAAGCCTAGACCTACTTCACTTTTCTGTCGAAGTGCCTGGTTCATCAGCCGCTAGTTCTTTTGGGGGTTTATTTTCAGAATTTTTTTCACGTCAAACCACACAAAGAAAATCCAGACACACGTGGGCAGCAATTTGCAATGACTAACCACGATTGTTCTGACCATGATTGGCTAGTTATTTTTAGTTTGTAACGTTTTGTTTTCACATGGTCTGCAAAGTACTGACATTGAGGGACACCAGTTTAGCGGCAGATTAGGAAATTCCCGTAATAGCGGAACATCAGTCTGGTAAGAGTTAAACCGGAGTATGGTTGCCTGTTTGGCTGTGAGAAGAATCGCTGCACACTTGACAAGCTGTTATAAAACATCTATGTTTCTGCTAGTTTCTCCGTTTGCTCTTCTGTCATCCTATTAGTTGTCCTAGCTACCTACTTACCTATCTGTCCATTCATTTATACATCTGTGTCCACACATCCAGCTATAATTATCCATCTCCATCTACATATCCATCCATTCATACGTCCATTAATTCACCATTTTCCATCAACATGCCTGTCATCCATGAATTGCAAATCATTGCTCTATAGTTTGGTTGACCCCTTTGCTATGAGAAAACATTTTCTCTGGCTTTTAAGGGTTTTTGGTGACATGAAGTCTGTGAGCAGTAACCACTATGCCTGTATGATATCTTTATTGTTGGCTGAAACTGCATAGTTTGAGGACATGGTGGCTGACACTTAGCACTCAGAGGACAGGCAAAAGGACCCTTTTCCACGCCTTCAGGTGTAGGGCATATAGTGCTAGACCTGTGTTTTATAGACCACTCGGTTGGTGATATGGTCAGCATCATGCCGGGTGCATTTACTTCCCAGGACTTTACCTGGTACCCATTTAAGGCTGGGTCAACCTGAAAGCCGAGGTCATGCTTGACGAAATCAGACTCCATGCTGATTTTAAAATTTTGGTCCCTGAGTAAATTTAGTTGAATAGCCCTGACTTATACCATTTCTATTTTGAATGTTTTTAATTGAATAATTGGGAAAGTTTACTTTTTTTTAAAACTAATCTGTTTTACGTGTTTATTGATTGAAGGATTTTATTAATGCATTTTTTAAGTGATTAAAGAATGAGGTTTACTTTTTGTGTATTTATATGTGTCAACCATGTGTTTCTTGGGCATATGTGGGTCAACCTTGTGTTTTTTGGGTGTATGTAGGTCAACCATATGTTTCTTGGGCATATGTAGGTCAACCTTGTGTTTTTTGGACATTTGTGGGTCAACCATGTGTTTCTTTGGAATGTGTGTGTTAACCATGTGTTTCTTGGGCATATGTATGTCAACCATGTGGTTCTTGGGCATATGTGGGTCAACCGTGTGTGTCTTGGGCATGTGTGTGTCAATCATATGTTTCTTGGGAATATGTGTGTCAGCCATGTGTTTCTTGGGCAGATGTGGATCAAGCATGTGTTTTTTTGGGCATATGTGTGTCAACCATGTGTTTCTTGGGCATATATGTTTCTTGGGCATATGTGTGTCAACCATGTATTTCTTGGGCATGTGTTGGTCAACCATGTGTTTCTTGGGCATGTGTTTGTCAACCATGTGTTTCTTGGGCTCTTAAGGAAACAAAGAATAATATGCTGCCAACCAGTTGTCGTAAGAAACGACCAAGGTTAGGGGTCAGCTTGTGACCTCATTGCACAAAACCAGCTGTTTAAAAAAAAAAAAACTTAAATGTGGAGAACATAGGATGTTTCTACACGAAGTAGCACAGGATAAAATGACCTGGTCAGAATATCAAGATTTTTTCAAATTTCAAAGTTTAGGTAAAAGAAAAAGAGAAAAGAAGGCTAGTGTAGCGATGACAGGTTGTGGGTGATGTGCAAACATCTTCCTCTTCTTCTCTTCCATTTTGTACATAATTGAAGTGTTGGGGGGAGTTGTAACATTTGTTGATGAGCTCTGTCAAGATTGATGTTTATTTCTGTAAGGCTATTCTTAACGCCATCACTCCATCTTTGCTGAGGTCTTCTGCTCACTCTATACCCATTGTAACATTTTAGTGGGGCTCGCTGTGGTGGATAGTACCAGGGCATTCTTGTTAGGTGTCCAAACCACTTCACTTGTTGTTCTTTGATGACCTGTAAGACTGGCTTTATTCGTTCTTTGATGACCTGTAAGACTGGCTTTATTCCTAGCATTCATATGATTTCTGGATTTGGTATTCTGTCTTTCCTTGAAACTCCTGAGGCATTTTATCTCTGTTGTCACAATTTTACGTTCATTAGAGGATGTAAGTGTCCACGTTAGGCACTGATAGCCTAGTGTTGGCCAAAAAATAGTTAGGATAAGATTCACATTCCTGTGCAAACATCACAGGTTTTTATTAGGGAATTTCTAATGGATGGTATCAGGACTAACAGATTTGAAAAAGGAAATTAAAACTAACGTTCGACAGGAGAAACAACCAGAAAAATTCTGTATTTTTCTGTTTATAAGACTTTCCCAGTGTATGAGATGAACCCCTTATTTTTTTAGCCCAAAATTAAGAAATGAATATTTTAAACGCATTTCGTTAAGCTTCAGAAATTTGGGAAAACGTATTGTCGTGTACATGGACAAACAGGGTAAGCCATTAAACAATGAAGAAAGAAAAGATGACCACTGATGTTACCAGCATGGTCACTTTTTTTTGGTGTTTTGTTTAAAAATTCAGATCACTAGGTTAAACAGTGAAATTTGTTTATTTTCAGTCCAATCAGCCAGCAGGTAGATTGTGGCCGGATGTTTTTACAGTTTCGTTATTTAAGTTTTAATGTGGTCACTTTTTATTTACTGTAAAAAATGAAATCTTTCAGAAGATGGATATTGGCTTTAAAAATCAAATCAGTTTGCAGGTTGAAGTGGCCTATATACATACATAATTTTCTTTTTTTATTTAGCCAGATATATTTTCTTAAAATGTTTTTTTTTAATTGAATTTTTTGACAGTTTAAGTGGTCAGTCTTTTTTTTTTTTTTTAAAGTGATACGTTTTATTTAGTTTGAGAAATCTTCTTCTTCTTCTTCACTTCCTCTTTTACCGCTGTGGGTGTCGAGGGAGATATAAGGTTCTGTTTGAGAAATCTTTTTCTTCTTCTTCACTTCCTCTTTTACCGCTGTGGGTGTCGAGGGAGATATAAGGTTCTGTTTGAAAAATCTTCTTCTTCTTCTTCACTTCCTCTTTTACCGCTGTGGGTGTCGAGGGAGATAAAAGGTTCTGTTTGAGAAAACTAATCACTCAGAATATGGATCTGGTTGATTTTCTTAAACTTTTATAATTACTGTTTGTTTTTTAAATTGATTTACTTTGCAGATCGAACCTGGTCATTTGTTTTTAAGTTTTATTTTGAAAATTGAAAGCATCCGGAAGGTTAAACTTGGTCAGTTTTGTTTGGATATTTTCTCCGGGTCATGCTGGTGTGTGGGGAAGTGAGCAGGCAAATAGACTGGCTGGCACTGCACCATTTGGTGGTGAATTGTTGTATGACTAGCTAGATGTTGTAAGGGCCCTTTGGGAATGAGTGAACAGTGAGGAGGCACAAATAGATCATTACGGTCTGAGGAGAATGACGCTGCAGGGAGTTACCAGGGGATATGGTCGATGCTCAACACTCCAGGGAAAGACGAGACGGGTATACAATCAGACGGTGGTGCCATCAGAATTGGAACTCTTCACTTTGCTGCTGAAGATAGGGACAGAGTGCATAGGGGGTTATCCCAAGTTCTGTGATGTCGATTCTTGATTCAGTATTCAACATTTTGTTTGCTGTTATAATGGCAGAGGGCTTGGTGCTGGTGGGGAAGACCAGCACAGGATATGAGACACTTAAATTAGGAAAGTGCATGAGGTTGTAGAGCTGGTGAGAAGATCTGTTTCCTTCAATCAGGTAATGATGAGAGCAATGTTCTGCAAACTACTTGCTACTCAGGGCCATTCAACTAGCGGCACATGGGCAAATCTGGCCCGCTGAGGCCTGTCAGGTGGAACGCAGATCATTACTTTTTGTATTGTATTAATGATCTTTCTTTGCTAAGGGCTCTGGCCTATGACAATATTCAGTTTCAAAATAGGGGTCTTTGAGTAAACCTAATTGAATAGCCCTGTGCTGCATGTTGTTGATATTGTTAAAGAAATCAAGTTAAATCTTTTTGTTTGAGAGCTTATGCTCCAGTGGGGGATAAAGGGAAGAAAAATAAATGTGTGCTTGTGTAAATGAATAGTATGGTTGTTGGCTCCTCAAAATATTTTCCATTGTTTTACTTCACTGAAGAGGAAATAAAATTGACTTGATTCTGTGAGTGTTTTCTGTGGATTTTTTTAATATGAATGTAGTTAACTCAGTCATAGATGATTTTAGCCCTCTGGAGACGATGCGGCTGAAATGTCGGCCCAACGCAAAGTAGCCAGAAGAACGGCTGGGTCGATCAGTCGGCCCTGAATAATAAAAGCCTTGAAATTGGCTGGCAGGTTTTCG